GGCAGAATTTCGGCGCAACCCTCACAAGGATCGTGGCCTTGGCCCCATACGGAGCTCTTCCGAAGGTCCGCCTGGCCAGGGGTGGGGTGGGGGGAAGGTTCTATTCTCGGCGGGGGCGGGGTCCATGGGGTGGGCCCCATACGGTTCTGATTAACTTCCGCAGAGTTCGTGCAGGGCTCCCATCATAAGGTCTAGTAGGCCACGTAAAAGGTTGTGCAAGGATTTTATACGGTTTTCAATGGAACCGTGAACGATCCTTGCGTAGCCCAATCGGAGCCTTGTTGGATCCCCACGGATCCATATAGGAGCGTGAAAAGATCCCCACGGCACGGGGGGGTGCGAAGGCCCCCCCAGGGGGGGTGCTGGGGTTGCTGAGGATGTCCTAGAGGATTCCTAGGGCTTCCGATGGATTCCTCGGATTCGTACGGATTTGTACGGGGTCCTAAGGATTCCGAAGGATTCTTCAGGATTCCTAGGAGATGCCTAAGGATTCTTTGGAGTTCCTAGGGATTCCGAAGGGTTCCTCGGGATTCCTAGGGTTTCGTAATGATTCTTAAGGGTTCCTAAGGGCTCCTAAGGAATCCTACGGGCACGTCAGGATTATTATGGATTCCTACGAATTCCTAAGGATCCCCAAGGATTCCTAAGGATTCCGAGGGATTCCTAAAGGATTCCCATGGATTCCTTCGGGACCCCCCGTCGGTATTCCGATGGATTCCTAAGGATTCTTGAGGATTCCCAGGGATCCCCCATGGATTCCTAAGGATTCCTAAGGATTCTTAGGAACTCTTCGGGATCCTTAGGGATTCCTAGGGATTCCCAGGGGAACCTAGGATTCTCATGTGTTCCGAAGGATTGTATGGATTCCTAGGGATTGCTACGGGTTCTTCAGGATCCCAATGTATTCATATGTGATCCTGAGGATTTGATGTTTTTTTTTGAGGATTCCTGCGGGTTCCTATGGATTCCGTTGGTTTCCTCAGGATTCCTAAATATTCTGAGGGCTTCTAATGGGTTCCTAGGGATTCCTATGGATTCATAGCGGCTCGTACGGATTCCCAAGGATTCTTCTGTATTCCGAGGGGTTCGTAGAGTTGCATACGGATTCATAGAGACTGCTCAGGGTTCCTAAGGGTCCCTAGGGATTCTTAAGGGGTTCATCGGGATTCCTATGGGTTCATAAGGATTCCCAAGGAGTCCCGGGATTCTTATGGATTCCTAACGATTCTTAGGGATTCCTACGGATTCCCATGTATTCCTATGGATTCCTATGTGCTCCCAGGGATTCCTTGGGATCCCTAAGGGTTCCTATGGACTCCTAAGGATCATGATGGATTCCTGAGGATTCCTATGGGTTCCTGGGGTCTCCTTGGGATTCCGAAGGATTCCTAACTCTTCTTAGGGATTCCAGCGGTAACTACGGATAAGGTTTCCTAGTGATTCATATGGGTTCCTATGGATTCCGATGGATTCCGATGGATTCTTCAGGATTCTTATGGGTTCCTATGGATTCGTATGGATTCTTATGGATTCTACGGGTTGCTAGGGATTCTTGAAGGCTCGTAAGGATTCCTAGGGACTCCGAAGGATTCCTAGGGCCTCCTACGGGTTCCTTTGAATTTCCTCAGGATCCTTGGGGGATTCCGAAGGATTCCTATGGATTGCTAGGGATTCCCAAGGCTTCCTAAGGAACCATTCGGATTCCTTGGGATCCCCAAGGATCCCCAATGATTCCTAAGGATTCCAGCGCATTCCTTAGGAACCCAAGCGTTTTTTGTGTGTATATATATGCATATGCCCAGTAGCTATGCTTCCCTTTTTCGTTCAGTGAGCAGTGGGGATCGAACATAAGTTTGATCCGTAGTCTGTCGTTGGCTCGAGATGGACCGCGCGGCCGGGGCGATTGCTCCTTGGCTCAGCGCGGTGTTGCATTTCGGCCACTACTTCGAGTGGGGACGCCAAAGGGCCCTGGCGTGCCCCGACTTGGTGTGTCCCGCGCACCCGCTGATTCCAGCCTGTCCTGCGTGCCCCTCCCTGCAGTGCCCGCCCGTGGCGCCGTGCGAGGTCGGGGTGCCGAGTGAGAACCGTCTGGCGCAGCTGGAGGCAGCCATCGCCCGCGTGTTGGCTGCGGCCAGCTCCTCGACCCCTTGTACCCCTCGCGAGGCCCCTGCTGGGGGCGAGGAGAGCTCCTTCGGCTGGATCCTGGGAGTCAGGCTGTTCGTCGTGGGCGTGCTGGTCGGGACCGTGTGCACTCTCGGTGTCGTGGCCTGCTGCTCGTGCGCTAGCGGCCGAAGCTCGAGAGTGCGGGGACCACCACGGAGCACGGCTGCTCTGCTGGACGTGGAGACGCCGGAGAGCAGGAGGCTTAGGGCTGAGCTGAGCCGATGAGTCTGGACATCCCCGAGCGTCACATCTTGGTTCATTATCCTGATGACAACATCCCGTACCATCACAGAGTGCTGATCGTGAAGCTGGAGGGTTCGCGGTGGGTATGGTCGACTCCTGACTTCTCAGTGCGCGCCGTCGACTTGGCCGATCGTGCGGCCGTCGTGTCGATGGTGCCACTGCAGAGAGCGTCGCGCTTCCCCTCGCAACACCATGTGTACGCCTTCGACAACCCGATCGCCCCTCAGGATCTGGCTCGTATCCGCTCCGAGGGCCGGGCACTCGCGGAGATCCTGGGTGGACCTCCGGCCCCGGCGGGTGGCGTTCCAGGCGGCGACGAGGGCGGCTCCTTTCTGTACTCGGACCCGTCGTGTGCTTTCTTCGCCGAAGATGTTGACGACCACCTGCTGGGGTCGGAGGCCACGGCTATCGCCCGAGGTTCGGTATGCTTGATCAAACGAAGAGAAGAGTGGACTACCGCCGAGAGGATCTCCCCGAGAGGCAAGTTGCGGTGGATGCAGGAGAAGCTCTGCGGAGAGAGCCGCGACTCACGGCGCTGCTACCGCTGCACCTGGACGACGGCACCCAGACGAGGAGCATCATGTTGCGGGATGCTGTGAAGCTGCTGCGCCAGTCCCTAGAGTCGGACGGTTTCCCGTTCCAGAAGTCTCGCTCCGTGCTCGAGCTGGCGAAGAGTGTGGCGGCCTCGGGCCACGAGTTCGGCACCTATCACGCCTTCTGGGTCAGGAGCAGCACGGTGGGCGAGAGGACGTCCATTGCGATTGAGCACTTTCACCTGATGAGCCTGTTGCATATGATGGTGTGCTACGACCAGCTTAACTTGCCGAACATCGCAGCCGCGGAGTTTGCCTCTCGGCGCGCCCTCATGATCCAGAGGGCGGTCAGGCGGAATCCGCGCAACCCGGACTCCGAGGGGTTGGACTCGTTCGTGGCGCACGCTCTCGATGCAATCGGAGGTGTCGTCACCGCCCAGTTCGACGCGGAGATGGCAGAGATGCGGAAGACGCAGGCGATCATCATGAAGTCAGATCGGCTTCTCAAGGAGGAGGCGAAGGCAGACACGAAGCGGCAGAAGGACAATAACGAGCACAAGGGCGGCCCGGAGGGGTCGCCGGGGTCATGATGTTGCTACGGGATCGGGACGACGTTGTTGGCCGTGACGACGTCCCTCTTCTCTTCCCCCCAGAGGGAACGGCCTGTGGGCACGGTGCCTCCTCGGTCCCCTTCGGCTACTCCGACCAGCGGGACCACTGCGCCCTCCCCGCCTCGACTGGGCCTTCGGCGACTGCGGTTGCCCCTCCGCCTGGTCGGGACGTCTTTCCGCTGCCGTGTGTGGTGGACAGGCACGATGCGCCCCTCGGGGGTATCTTACCGCGTCATGCGGCTGCTTGTGATCGGAGGTTCGCCGAGGTGGTGGGCTCTCTGAACGCATTGGCTTCAGCTCGAGCGGGGCACCGGCTTTCGCGGTGCACTGCAGCGACGGCACCTACAGATCTTCAACGAGCTGTGGGAGCCCGGCTGAGGGAGTCCATCCAGGGCTTGGGTCGACCTCCCCCGGGGCCTGACAGGAAGTCCGCCCTGCGGGACGTGCTTCGTCTTCTGAGCGTCTACGACTTCACTGCCGACGATGCGACGCGGGGATGGCGGAGATGCGCAAGACGCAGGCAATCATCATGAAGTCGGATCGGCTTCTCAAGGAGGAGGCGGAGGCAGACACGAAGCGGCAGAAGGACAATAACAAGCACAAGGGCGGCCCGTAGGGGTCGCCGGGGTCATGGTGCTGCTACGGGATCGGGACGACGTTGTTGGCCGTGACGACGTCCTTCTTCTCTTCCCCCCAGAGGGAACGGCCTGTGGGCACGGTGCCTCCTCGGTCCCCTTCGGCTACTCCGACCAGCGGGACCACTGCGCCCTCCCCACCTCGACTGGGCCTTCGGCGACTGCGGCCGCCCCTCCGCCTGGTCGGGGCGTCTTTCCGCTGCCGTGTGTGGTGGACAGGCGCGATGCGCCCCTCGGGGGTATCTTACCGCGTCATGCGGCTGCTTGTGATCGGAGGTTCGCCGAGGTGGTGGGCTCTCTGAACGCATTGGCTTCAGCTCGAGCGGGGCGCCGGCTTTCGCGGTGCGCTGCAGCGACGGCACCTGCAGATCTCCAACGAGCTGTGGGAGCCCGGCTGAGGGAGTCCATCCAGGGCTCGGGTCGACCTCCCTCGGGGCCTGACAGGAAGTCCGCCTTGCGGGGCGTGCTTCGTGCCCTGAGCGTCTACGACTTCATTGCCGACGATGCGACGCGGCGACCGTTTGATGCCGATCGAGTCCGCAAGCTCCCTGCAGCGCCCCAGCGCGGCGGCGCGGCGCGTTGAGCTCCGCGCCCTTGGCTCTGCCTCGCTCAATGGCCAGGGTCTCCGACAGGTTGTCGCCCATCGAGAGCAGCTCGGAATCGAAGTGGGCCGAGGCCCGCGAGTGCCGTCTGAGCCCCAGCAGCGCCGCCCGGGCTTCCTTGTTGTGGATAGCCTCAGGGCGGCACCAGGCGCCAATCACCACTCGGCGCCACCGCAGGCGGTCGGAGAAGACCCCTGCGGGCTCAGGCAACGCATGCGTCTCCACTGCCTCCACTGCGCGCCGCGACGCCACCCTCGAAGCACCCGCACTCCAGATGGTGGACGTGAGCTCCGCGGTGCCGACCTCCTCGAACCCCAGCTCCTTCTCGAACGCTGGGGCCAGGGAGCTCGTCTCGGCCCCCGCGGAGCTGCGGGTGCCGGTCGGCTCGACGGCCTCCTCGTCCAACAAGTACTCCTCCAGCGTCTTGAACCGCCAGCGCTCCCGCCAGGCCGTCGCCAGGAGAACCTCGTACTCCGCGAACCGGCCGACATGCAAGGCGTAGCCCTTCCCGCTGGAGTCGGAGCGATAGACCGTGGCAGCCGTCCTGAGCCTCATCGCGCGGCGCGATATCATCACCAGCCCCGCGGCGACCTGCAACTCGCCAATCACATTCGGCGCGAGGTCGCCCACGGTGTCCAGATGCTCGCCCAGCCAGCGCCAAACCTCGTGCAGCGCGGACATGAAGGGCGGAAAGACCATCCAGTGGTTCACCAGGTGGCCGATCAGCCTGCGGAGCTGCCGCTCGGAGAAGGTCCTGCGGCGGATCGCCGCGTGGATAGCGCAGTACAAGCGCCGCGTCCTCTCTCGCTTGTGGAGCACCATGTGGAAGGCGCCCCCAATCAGCCGAAGCCCCACCTGAACGACGTCCTGCCCCGCGCAGACGTCGCCCCGCCAGAGGAAGCCGCGGCGGCGGAGCTCCGCCAGAAGCGCTTCGTAGGATTCCTGGGCATCACGGGCGCCCCAGCATGTGAGGAAGGCGCTATCCGCGTAGGGCGCGAGGATGGGGCGCCCAGGCTGGAGAACAGGGGGAGGCCGACGGTCACGCAACACGCGCGCATCGATGTCATCCCGACTCTCGTCGCCCGTCCGCCTCATCTCCGCGCAGACCTGAACGTCTGCGAGCGCGAGTGGCAGAAGAAGAGCGACCACGTCCAGCCCATCGGAATCACCTTCAGGTCCAGAGCGTCTCCTCGGGGTTGACGTAGGTCCACTGTCGGGCATCGTCGTCAAACACTCGTGTGACTCCGAACTCCGACGCGAGAACCTTGTGGGCCAAGCAGAAGTAGCCCGCCGCCTCCTCGAACTCGAATTGGAAGTACCCGTCGGTGAGGTCGGCGCCCGAGAAATGCACGTCCAGCGGCCGTCCCGCCTCCGCGTGCTGCCATGCGAACGTCTCCCCGTCTCCCAGGACCAACCCGGCCAGGGAGGACGCGGTGGCCAGCTGACTCGCGGGCGGCGGACGGTGAAGTACGTTAATTGGGCGACAATCTAGAACCAAGCGCAAGTGGTAACCATCCTTCTTGATCACCGTGAAGGCGCCCGCAAAGCATCGGGCGCGACGACGAAAGGACAGCATCTTAGCATCGTGCAGCTTCTGAACCAGTGATCTCATGTTCTTCGGGTCTCTCAACACAGGGTCGAGGTGGGGCTTCACCTGGGCCTCGGCTGCTATGCGATTCTCATCATCGGGTAGCCTGAATATCCATCTCCACGGACCAGCCGCCATGGGTCGAGCGTCTGGCCCAACCACTGTGCCGACTAGCTTGGGGTGAACGCCTCCATCTCGCACCACGCGGGATCCGCTGGCGTCGCCGTCACCTGGTCAGCGAGCGGAGCTCCTCCGACGAGGACTCGCGGTTGGCGGACCGTGGGCTGCTGGCCGCTGGCGAGGCGCTCGGCGGTGGGGCGCTCTGGGCTCGCCTCTGTGCCGCGGGGCTTCGTGACCTGGCTGGCCGCGACAGGGCGCGCAGGTCCTGCACCCGCCGAGCCTTTGACGAGCTCGAGGACCGCCAGCCGGGCGAGGGCGGACAGTTCTCTTTCGCGGTCCTCGTCATCGGACACTTTTATTATATTTCAGAACGTATTCCAGCCTGGTCGCGCGAAGGTTGGGGAGGCGGAGATTGGCCGAGCCAGGGCGAGTTGTCGCCCAGGGCTCCCTGCCCCTGCCTGGGTGCCAGCGGTGCAGGCCTCATCCGCCAGGCCGCCACCGTCAAGGTGCCCCGCGTCGTGCAAGCTGGCCATTTTGGAGCTGTTTGCAGGATGCGCTCGGTTGTCAGGCGCCTGCCAGCAAAATGAATAGAGGATAGCGCCTCCCTTCGACACGTCTTATTCTACGGATTCTGATGTTACCAATAGTCGAGTTTCGAGGCTGATATTGAGATGGATTAAGTCTGGAAAGATCTGGATGATCTGGATGGGGTCCCCGTGTGCTCGATTGTCCAGCGCTCGTGGCAGCCCCCTGAGGCCCGACGAGATCCAAGACCCGACCGCGGTGGCGACCATCCGTATTCTTCGTGCTGCTCATCATCATCATGTCAAGTGGGTACTCGAGAACCCGATAGACTCCAAGATCTTCAAGTGGACCGCGTTCAAGAGGCTCATCGAGGCTCAGGGCGCTCAGGAGGCCATAGTGGACTACTGTCGGTATGGGACTCCTTATCGCAAACGCACGCGCCTGGTGGGTACTCTACGGGGCCTGTCTACGGTGGCTAAGTTGTGCTCCTGCAAGGTCCCCCACGAGATCCCCCAGGGTAAGGTGAAAGTCTTGGTGGAGCCCGATAAGTATGAGATGAAGTGGAATACCACCTTGGCAGGGGCATATCCTCCAGCGTTGTGTCGTGCTCTGGCTGGAGTCCTGAAGGATGAGGCTCCTTCAGGTGCTCTACGTATTCGTAACGAACCCCGTCTTCATGCCAGCTGGGTCCGGGACCTGGCGGCCGCGCTCGGAGGTCGAGCTGTCCAGCCGCCGCCTGTCCCGGATTGCCCCAGGTGCTTTGTCTGCCCGTGGGCCGAGACAGCAGAACGCTGGGGCTGTGGCGACTCGCTCCAGCGGCGGCAGCGCGCCCTTGCTGCCCAGCTTGACGCAGGCGCGGCCCCCGGCTCCAGTCAGCCGAAGGCCGAAGGTCGCGCAGGCACGCCAGGCCGCAGCAGCGAGGAGGCGCGCCAAGAGAGACCAGCTCGACGAGCCCGAGGGCGACGAGGGGTACTTAGCCAGGCGCCGCGTGAAGCCCCAGACGCTCAAGCGGCACCAGGAGGCCATGCGGGGCTTCACGGCAGCGTACCCCCGAGCGGCCGAGCACGGGTGCACGCTGGAGGAGTTCGACGCGATGCTCGAGCAGTACCTCATGATCCAGTTCTTCTCGATTGGTGCTCGCGCCCACGAGGCGCGCGATGTCCTGTGCGGCAGCGCGTGGATGCGACGGGCGTCCGTCGCCAAGCTGCCCGCCGCCCTCAGTGCCATGGAGGGCTTCCGCAAGGAGGACCCAGGCTCGTCCCGCGACCCGTGTCCGTGGGAGGCCGTGGTCGCGATCGCGGACCACCTGATGATCCACGACAGCTCGCTGGGACCGTGGGCAGCGGCGGCGGTCCTCCTCGGCTTCGACACCTACGCGCGGATCGGAGCGTTGTGCGCTGTCAAGGCGCGCGACCTCTTCAAGCCCATCCGCGGCACGCAGCCAGCCAGGTGGGCTCTGGTCTTCTTTCCAGAGCCCGACGGCGAGGTCAGCAAGACCAAAACTCAGGACGACACCGTGCTCATTGGCGAGACCGCGGCCGAGAGGCAGTGGTTGAACCGCCTGATGGGGCCGCTGGTGCAGGGGCCGGCGCCGGAGCAGCGGGCGTTCCCGTTCGGCTCGCCCGGTCGTCGTTCGGTTCGGCTCTCCGCGCCAGCTTCGAGAAGGCGGCCGACGCGGTCGGCCTCGGCCAGTGCAAGTTCGTTCCACACATGTTGCGTCACGGAGGGCCGAGTCTCGACGCACTTCGCGGCGTCGGCCTTCCCGAGATCCAAAAGAGAGGCCAGTGGGCCGCCTCGCGGAGTGTGCTGCGATACAGCAAGCACAGCCGACACATGCGCATGCTGCAATCGCCGCCCAGGCGCATCCGAGACCAACGCACCGCCAAAGAGGAGCTGCTCAAGTCTCAGTTACCAAGTAAGCTGCGCTCTACACGTTGACCCACCCGCCCAACCCAACAGACACCATAGCCAGAGGTATTATGGAGGACGCTGTTGGTGATACTCCGGAGAGTTGGCATTGTCTCTGTGGTTCAGACGCGTCTGCGTTGGCGAATTCCAGGCGAGCAGATTTCGACTGAGTACATCGGCTGGGGAGGGTCAGCCGCACGTGCCAAAATATGAGGTTGCTCCCACTGTGCATTTCCTTGTCCTGTTCAGTGATTGAGTGGCTTGCTGAATCCTGTTGCCTTCGGCGCTCCGCTCCCGCGTCTTGGTCTCTTGGGAGCCGCCCTTTTTGGCCCCCTGCGCTGGGAGAACGAAATGCCCAGTAGCTATGCTTCCCATTTTCGTTCAGTGAGCAGTGGGGATCGAACGCAAGTTTGATCCGTAGTCTGTCGTTCCCGCCCACCGCCCCCTGTTCCAGCTAAATTGTTGGAGCCAACGCGGGGGGCATTATTGTCTCTGTGGTTCAGACGCGTCTGTGTTGGCGAATTCCAGGCGAATAGATATCGACTGAGTACATCGGCTGGGGGGGGGCCAGCCGCACGTGCCAAAATATGAGGTTGCTCCCACTATGAATTTCCTTGTCCTGTTCAGTGATTGAGTGGCTTGCTTAATCCTGTTGCCTTCGGCACTCCGCTCCCGTGTCTTGGTCTCTTGGGAGCCGCCTTTTTGGCCCTATGCGCTGGGAGAACGATATATCTATACATACATACATACATACATACATACATACATACTAAAACATCTTGAGGATCCCAACGGATTCGGATGGTTAACTGATGGATTCCCAGGGGGACCTAGGGGTTCCTAAGGATTCCCAAGGATTCCCACGAATTCCCAAGCATTCATCAACATCTCGAAGGACTCCTAAGGATGCCCTAGAGGACTTCTAGGACTTCCGAATGATTCCTATGGATCCCTGCGGTGTCCTAAGCATCCCCACGGATTCCGAAGGGCTCCTGACATTCCATCAGAATTCCGTGGTAGGGAGTTCCCATTATGAGTTGTAGTCGAGGGCTCCCATTATGAGTCATAGTAGGAGGCCCCCGCTATGAGTCGTAGTGGGGAGCTCGTACAACGAGTCGTAGTAGGGAGCTCGTACTATAAGGCGTAGTAGGGAGCTCCTTCTGTGAGTCGTAGTAGGGAGCTCGTACCATGAGTCGTAGGGAGCTCCTACTGTAAGTCATAGTAGGGAGCTCGTACTATGGGTCGTAGTAGGGAGTCCCTACTATAAGTCGTAGTAGGGAGCTTGTACTATGAGTTGTAGGGAGCTCTTATTATAAGTCGTAGTAGGGAGCTTGTACTATAAGTCGTAGTAGGGAGCCCCACTGTGAGACGTAGTGGGAGCTAGAAGGGCGCGGTGCCGCCCTCCCATTTCCCCGCCGCCCACTCCTCCGCCCGCCTCCCCCGTTGTTTGTCTTTTGTGTTGTTTGTTTGTTTTGTGTTGTATTGTTGCTTCTACTTCCCAACCATCCTGCGTCGGGTTCTCGTTTCGAGTAGAGCGCTGCGGTCGCACGCCTTCCTTCTTCCTTCCCGCCCCCTCTCCCCGTCTTTCCTGCCTCTCGCCTCGCTCCTTCCTGCGCGCCAGGTTGCCTCTACTTGGCCATCCCTTGGGGGCTGCGATCTCCGAAACCGTCGCCACTTTCCGAGGGGTGTTGGGGGTCCAGCGGAGTGACGTTCCACGCAGACTCACACTAGACCTCGCCATCCCTGGGGGGCTGCGAAACGGGCGCCACTTTCGAGGGCGGCCGGGGGGTCCAGCGGAGCGACGTCCTTCGCGGATTCAAATTAGACCTCGCCGTCCCTGGGGGGGCTGCGATCTGTGAAAATGGTTGCCACTTTCACCAGCTGTTGGGGGGTGCAGTGGACTGGCGTCCTACCCAGATTCAGATTAAACCTCGCCGTCCCTGGGGAGCTGCGATCTGCGAATCGGTCGCCACTTTCGAGGGGTTGCTGGAGGGTCCAGCGGAGTGACGTCTTACCCATATTCAAATTCGAACTCGCCATCCCTGGGGGGCTGCGATCTGCGAAACCGTCGCCGCTTTCGAGAGTTGCTGGGGGTTACAGCGGAGTGACGTCTTACTCATATTGAAATTCGACCTCGGCATCCCTGGGGGGCTGCAATCTGTGAAACGGTCGCCATTTTCGAGGGCTGCTGGAGGGTTCAGCGGCGACGTCTTACCCAGACTCAACTTCGACCTCGCCATCCCTGGGAGGCTGCGATCTACGAGAGTGTCGCCGCTTTCGACGGGTACTTGGGGAGTCCAGTGGAGTGACGTCTTACTCATACTCAAACTCGACCTCGCCATCCTTGGGGGGCTGCGATCTGCGAAACCGTCGCCGCTTTCGAGGGCTGCTGAGGTGTCCAGCGGAGTGACGTCTTACCCATATTCAAATTCGACATCGCCATCCCTGGGGGGCTGCGATCTGCGAAGCTTTCGTCGCTTTCGACGGGCTGCTGGGGTGTCCGGCGGAGTGAACTCTTATCCCGGCTCAAATTCGACCTCGCCATCCCTGGGGGGCTGCGATCTGCGAAGGTGTCACCGCTTTCG